TAGAATGGTTCATGAAGGAGGGAAATGATGAGTACCAGTTGTGGCCTGAGACTAGCTGATGTTATGGGGCAAGGCAGCTTGTCCCACCATTATTCCTCTTCTAAGTTTCCCCTTAGGAAAGGAAGACCACAGGAAACATGGCAAATCTGCTTTCTGAACATACTGGAGAAATGCATCAGTGCAGAAAAGGAGATGGACTGTGATAGTTATGGAAGTTTGAAATGGCTTACATTTTAAAAGGGTCAGTCTGGCTGCCATGTGAGAACAGACTGTAGGCAGATAAGGAGGAAACAGGGAGACAATAAGGAGGCAATTAGAATCATTACCTAATAAGGAGACAATATCCTAATAACTCAGGCAAGAGACATTGGTAGACTATAATGGTACATCTGCTGAAGGGTTGAAAGAGGAATTAGTGATAAGCACAGAAATAAAGCAAACTTAAGAAATAGTATTAACAATAGGAAAAACAGAAATGGTATAAGAAAGGAAAGGTAATTATAGTAGTCAACGTGACTCAGTTGTGAACGTTTCTGCAGTCATAATAATGTAAATACTAAATGTTAATTTAACCAAACATTCCCATATGATTATATTTGGAGAGTATGTAGTGAGAGAATAACTAGTTTCCTAACATTGTGTTCCCAATCCCGTGCTCATGGTTAGGAAGAATTAACATTGTCAAAATGGCCATCTTGCCTAAAGCAATTTAAAGATTCAAGGCAATCCCCATCAAAATACTAACAGCATTTTTCAATGAACTAGAGAAAATAATCCTAAAACTCATATGGAACATGAATTGAATAGCCAATGCAATCTGGAGAAAGAACAAAGCTTTTTCTTTGTTCCCTTTTTCTTATGCTCCCTGACTTCAAGCTATACTACAAAGCTACAGTAATCAAAACAGTATGGTACTGACACAAAGACAGACCCATAGATCAATGGAACAGAATAGAGAGCCCAAATATAAACCCATACATACATGGCCAATTAATATATGATAAAGGAGTGTATCTATGAAGAAAAGATATATCCCTTTATATAATTAAAACATGGTTATCAAATGTGGGAGCCACTTTAATCTATGGCTCATATTCCAATTTTGCCAATTGGCTTAGTAAATCTTTTATAGCATTTTCTCCCTCTCTGGTACACATTTCCAGTTTAGGATCATGTATGAACTTTAATTGTCAAGTCTTTTTATTCTCTTTTAATATGGGAATATTGGTCAGTAGACCCATATTACTGACCCAATAATATGGGTCAGCTGGTTTCTCAGCCCATTTTATTTTGGTCTTTCCTGATAATTATTTCATAGAATGTTCTTTAACATGGGTTTGGTTGATGTTTCCTCCTGATTAGATTCAAGTGATGTTATGCCCTTCTCAGAGTATCACTTTGGGCAGCACATGATCCCTGATGAAAGTGTTGCCCAGTTTCTCTACTGTATAGTTACTATTTTCCCCTTCCAACAAATATGCAGTCTGTGGAGAGATACTTTGAAAACAGCAAAATACACTGCTTTTCATCAAACTGTCCCCGCTAGATTTAGAATCCATTGACGACATTTTCCCAAGCCAATGTTTTCTGTGATAGTTGCAAAATGGTGATTTTCCAACCCTATCATTGTCTATTTATTAGGGGGCATTCTTTTTTTATTATAATTTTTTAAATTAAGGTATTATTGACATACACTCTTATGAAGGTTTCATATGAAAAACAATGTGTTTACTACATTCACCCATATTATCGAGTCCTCCCCCATATTCCATTGCAGTCACTGTCCATCAGTGTAGTAAGATGGGGGGCATTCTATTTTAAGGAACAACTTACCCTTTTCACCAATTTCCCTCTCTCTCTCTTTCATCAGTAGACTTTTGGATTCTTATTTTATTCAGTGGGTTGTAATTCATTACTGTTCTTACTTTGATACTCTAGTTATCCCAGATTTGGCCAATGAGGGGTTTCAATCATAAAATCAAGTGGAATATTACTGATTTTTACAAATCATCATATTTATGGCTCATTTAGCTATTTCCTTTTTTCCCTTTGTGGTAAGAAACAAGGAAACTTTAAACTTGTCTATTGGGTTTCTTTTTTACTTGAATATGATTAATTCTGGCTATAATCATCAGCAAAGAACACCAAGAGAAGCTATGGATCATAAGGGTCTACATAGCTACTTGCATGAAATATATCCCATAAGAAATTTGTGATTGAATACTATATAGGTTTTGAAATACTACAAGATAATTTGTGGAACCCTAAAGATAATGGTAATGAAACACAGGACATCTCACTGAATTCATTTTAAAGAAAATTTTATCAAAGCTCTTTAAAATAACACTTTCTGCAGTCAGATACTAGTTGCAAAAGATGTTTTGCTTTTTACAGTGGTGTGATACATTGGAAACTGCTGTGGCAACATCACACATTGTTATTTTTATGGGATAAAAGCAGATGAACAATAAAGTGTCTGAAATAAGTACATCAATTTCTATTTTAAAGGAATGTAAAATATGATATTTTTTACATTCTTGGTAACAGATCTTTCAACAATGATAAACTTTTGAAATATTGAAGATGAAATAAAGAGATCATATTTTATGTGTGATAGTATCTGGGGCAAAGACCAAATCCATTTCTTTGTTGCATGTACTTCATATTCATTCCCAAATCCACCATTACATAGGGATCACCTGGGTCACATTTTAAAAATGGAAATTCCTGAGTACTACCCTGGTCCACTTAAACAGCATATCTCATGATCCTTGTATTTTTAAAACCTCCCCAGATAATTCTGAGACATTTGATCATCAAACTGTTTTGGGAACTGTTGAACATGGAAAAACATATATTCATATGAGGGTATAAGTTTCATTATATATATATTACCCAAAGGCAGGAACTGTGCTTGTAAATTTTTATAAGCCCAGCACCTATTAGGAGCCTTGCATATATTAGGCATTCATTACAAGCTTATGAGAAGAATTTTGACTTCACATTTATTGGGGTCTTACTATTAGTTTGTGCAGGGGATACAAACCCCTAGTGATATTATATATTCATGTGACAGGGACCAGCCTGAACAACAGTTTGAAAGACAATATGGGATTCATGGAGTAATTTCTAATGCAAAATATAGTTATGTTTAGTAATGACCCTTGAATCCTGCTAACTTACTCTATGTTTCCCCCAAATGAAGAAAGAAGACTCACATTTATAAGATTGGCCTAGTTTATAAATTGTGTCTGTCTTGTTCCTCTTTCCACTAAATGTTCTACTTGATGTCAAAATTATTAGACAAAAAATACAATAGTGTTAAACATTCGTATGGCTTAAATCAGTGGTTCTCTAAATGTGGTCCAAGGACTCTGGGGGTTCCTGAAACCCTTTCTGGTGATCCATTAAGTCAATACTTTTTTCCTAATAATAACAAATTATTATTTGCCTTTATTCTCATTCTGAGTGTATAGTTAAAATTTCCAGAGGCTACATGGTGTGTAATATCAAAACAGAATAATGAAGATAAGAGAATCAGCTGTCTTCAAAAGGATCCTAAGACCAAAAAGCTTGAGAACTAGTGATTTACATTTTTACATGTTATTTAATAATTAGTTTATCTGGTTTTTTAGTTTTATATAGCCAAATATTGCCTAAAATCAGGATTGAATTTCACCAGTTCTTAAAAGTTGATTTTTGTTCAACATTTATACATTGATGATTTAACTTTCTTCTTTCCTTGTTCTAGCACAGTTGACTTAGCTGCTGAGCCTCTAAAGTGTTCCACAGTAATTCCCATTATCAGAGTTAATGGACATGCTCCCTGGGAAGGAGTCCATGTTAAGTGCTTACTAATAGGGAAGGATTTCTTTATCGGATTTCTCACTTAACAGGTTCTAAATGGAGAGACACACGGAAATGGTACATTTTGATAACTGAGAAGCAAATCAACGAACATTCCTAACTCTCGTGGCAGGTGGATCCAGAGGACAATAGATTGAAAAATACTGCTTAGCAGTCCAGACCTTAGCATCATTCAGATCAGGTCTGTGTCCCATTTATAGAATTTACAGAATTATTTGGGGGTCTTAGTCCGCTTTCCACATGTAATTGAATAAAAGCAGTATCTATCCCACAATGGTTGTAAACAAACACTGGTTTTATGTAAAGTGCCAGCACAGTGGCATGAACACAATAATTGGTTGTTCTTAGGTTAGTGGGGCAGGAGGGTCCTCTGAAAAAAAATGGAGAATAGTTGTTTTGCTTACTTCATAATTTAACCCAATGACAGTTGTCTGCCTTCTTTTGTTTCCATGATTGTAGCCTTCCGACAGGTTTGATAAATAAATTTTTGAAAAGAAAATTTTTATTTGAAAGTTCTTTGGTATTATAATCAAAATATTTTCATTCTATTTCTATAGCAGGAGAGACAATCCTCCTTTCGCATTTCTGATAACAACATATTCAGAGAAAAATATGTTATTAGCGAAGGGACTGAACTGTGCAATAGTATTAGTTTGCAAAAACAACAGCTGAAAAACCCATACAGTAGAGGAAGGGGTGAGGAGGTTTTAAATTCAAAGCTGAAGGTCAGGATATAGGGAAATTTTACTCGCAGCCTAACCCTAAACGCAGTTCAAACAAAACAACTGTGAACTCACTGTGGTCCAGTTTTCTCTGCATTGACTCCTTTTTGCTTAGCCAACGCGTAAACTTGTACCCCTGAGGGAGCAGCGGACACAGTAAGTCTCATAACTGACTCCAGTAACTCCTAGTGTGCATGTGAGGCGGGAGGCGGGGATGCCTGAGGACAAACACGAGAGCCCCCTTGGGAGCCCTCGCGCTATCCCGCCCAAATACCGCGGGGCGGGGCGAGGCCCGAGGCCGGGCCGGGGCCCGAGGCCGGGGCGGGGCCCGAGACCTAGGGGCGAGTAGCTTCGCTGGGCCCGCCTCACTTCTTTTCCTCCGTGCCCCGCCCACATACATTTCGCCACGATCCCGGCAGGCCCAGCGGCTAGGAGAGTCACGTGAGAGTGGGTGGTGGAGGTGGAGGCTTGTGTCTGCTGTGTATTTTTTTGCCTCTGTAGTTGGCGGAGGTGGGCGGCTTTGACGGAGAAACACTGAAGCTCCGAGTGAACAGGTGAGTTCTGAACTTGAAGCGTGTGAGATGACAGCCATTTAGGGGAGGCTAAAGGGAAGGGGGGGCGCGGAACAGCTTTAGGGGTCTGACCTCTGGGCGGGCAGCTCCCCTCCTCTGGGATCCGGCGTCTCCCCTGATGCGCTCAGCTCAGCGGCCTGAGAGCAGACCTTAGTCCTGCCTGCACCCCATCCCATTTCCCTGTCGCAGAAGTTCTCTTCGTGCCGAGTTCCCAACTTCAGAGTTCACCTGGGCGCCGACGTCCCTCTCCTCACGGGAGATCACAAGTAGACTTGACTAGTTCCCCAGGGGCTTGTGGATGATGAACTGTACAGTAAATCTCTGGTGGGAAGAAGGGTTGGTTAATCATTGAAACGAAAAAATAAGTGAAAACTCAATGGGGACCCGGAGTAGCAAAACAAAGTGCAGGCTTCTTAGACTGGTTAGTTCTTATCTTTTCTAATAGCTTCCTATTCTGGTTCTCTCTCAAGTGTCCTCACCTTCCCATCCTGGAGCATACGAGGTTTTGACAAAGCTGGTTGTTTTTGACTCTGTGAATGTTGTGAGAAAAGTTTAAAACAGACTGTTTTTTAAGATGCTATTTCAGTAATCTTACGGTTTGTAGCTTCTTTATCATCCCTTGTTCGTATTTGTAAATAAAAGTATTCGTATTTGTAAATAAAAGTAAAATAACCGCCTTATAATGCAGGGACTAGAGTTCGATATTTTATTCTCCCTTTGGTACCTGGAAAGACACATTTTCTTTGTTATTTTATAAACAGATGTGTCTATCACAGTTTTTTTAGGTGGTTTCTTGGATATACCTTTGTTTATGTTTAAGCATCCCTTTGGGTCACATGTGCAAGTGATCGAACAGTAGAGGAAAGCAGTTTGCAGATAAAGTGAAGCAGTTTGGGGATTGATAGTAGTAAGAGAGTTTAGGTTTCATTAGACCATATGACAAATTAATCAAATGTCAACAACTTGAGACACAGGTATTGCCCAGGATGACCAACCTGCTTCTTTCTGGTGTTGGATAAGGTAATGAGCTTGCTGAATATATTCTTATTCTAAAAATTTTTTAGAACTCATTGCCACTTGTGTGTACTCTCCAGCTACTCTTTATCATCAACCGTGATAGGTGATTATTTCTTCCACTAGGAACATTGCTTGGGGCACCTAATTATATCAAGAAAGTGCCAGTGGCACCTTCTATGTGTCCTTACTGAGGAATATAAAACAAAGTAATGAAAATGAAGATTTAGGAGTGGATTGTGTGCCTGGGGAGAACGAGAGTGATGGAAGTTTAATAAAAGCAGGAGAACAAAAGCATGTATTGCTATCTTTCTATAGAACATTTACTGTATTCCGTAGAGTTACATTCTTAAGGAGTGCATCTTGAGACTGACTTTCCTATATTTAAGAATAAAACAATGGTGTGTAATTTCTTCCATAATACAATATAACATAAAATAACTGTAACAAAGATTTAATTGACCCTGCAGATTTTACATTATTCAGAATTATAGGACTTAAGTAATTGATAAAGTTATTAAACCCAATTTGGGTACTTTTAATCTTTAGTTTTACTGCTTGAGCAATTTTTACAGTGACTGCAGCACTTGGTGAATGTTAGCCAAATTTCTTTGGCATGTAGAGTTGTTTAATATGCGAACCAATTTTTTTTTAAGTTTGCTCACAACTTTTTTATTCCCACTCAAAACAAAAATAGTTTAATTTTGTGCCAAGCTTAAAGTCGATTCTTTTTAAATAGATGTTCTACTCACTTTGGTAAATTATGAGAAAGTTGTTAGTCTTTTAAGATATTAAAACATATATCTGAGCATATTTGAGAAGAAAACGTGGGCAGTATCTTTAAATGTTTTATATTCCCTATTATAAAAGTAGTATGTGCTTATTTTTGAAAAATGGAAACATTATGGAAAATAAAACACTGAAAGTTGAAAGCCTTATTTATCTTTTCCTTTGCCACTAGTTCACCTTGCATATTTGAGAATCAGTGTGGAAAGAGTCGAGTCAGACTTCTTGGTCAAAATGATACTAATAGACCAGGGTTTACAACCTTAGAAACCCCAGAAGAGAAAGAACTTCCCCTTCGCTGTATTTCTAGCAAGCTATTGTGTCAGAGTCTCATTTGCCTGAATTGGGTCAGTTCCCATTGTAGAGGCAATCTCTGTGGCCCAAAGTGATGAAATTGTTTGTGTGGCCAAGATGGGATCTTACTCCCACCCTGGAGTAGGGCATAGGGGGAAACAGTTTTCAACCACAGGAATTAAGGGTAGGCAACATATAGTTTCTAAAAGAAAACTGAGGTGTCATTTCCTGGACAGGGGAGATAAGTTGCTGGACAGACAGAAAAAACAGATGTTCACTAATGCAATTTTACATATATTTGTTTTTTTAAATAAAAGAACTTTCCTTTCCCAATATTAATTAATTGTATTTTACAGCTTATGTGTTGCTTTTTCCTTTTAAAAAAAGTATATTATTTAATTAGCTTACAGAATTTTAAGTTTAAACTCTTCAAATGCATATATTTGTACTGTTATTACATGTTAAGTACCCATGCTCTGGCATATTCAGGTTTCTCACTTTAAATATATTGTATATTTGGCCAGTTTATTAAAATTGATTACTCATAAATATTTTTCATAACAGTGAATGTACTTGGTTAACAAACTGCAGTTCATAAATAGTAAATAAAAATGTCTTCAATATTTAAGCATATGTAGTCAATATGATTAAATGCTTGATTCTTTTAATTGTTCCATGTCTAAAAACCTGTTAGTGTAGAAACTATTTCATTTTGAGCACTGTATGAAAAACAAATCACTATAATTGTCACTAATTGCTGTCACTAATGTTAACTGTCAAACTATATTTAACATTGTCTGGTTTTACCTCCTAATGGATTATTCTGATTCATTTTATTTTAAGAGAAAATATAACTGAAGCAACATATTGTTTACTCCACTGTCTTGTTCTCTTTTAAAAGAAATGTTAGTGGCTCAATTTAATGGAAATTTGACCTTTAATTGCTAACATCAGTGGCATGAGCTTTAGTTTAAACAGGTAGATCTGTATTCTAAAACCAACTCTATCACTTCTTAATATTGAGCAAGTTACTTAATCTCTCTGAATTTATAAAATAGGAATGGTAATACATATCTCATAGGGGTCTGATTAGGATTAACTTAGTAGATGCCAAGTACCTGTGAAACAGCAGGTTCTCATTAAATGCAATCGTTTTTAATAACAGCAATAAGAAGTAATATCTGAAAGGGTTTTATGTTCTCAGTTTCAGAATGTTTAGCCCCAGGAGTTTAAAAAGTGTGATAGAGAAATTAACAAGATTGCTCTTCATTCATTTTGTCTAGCAGGTTTTTAAATTTCATGTTGCATATATAGCAATAAACTAGACAACTTTATTTAGACTACGTAATTATTGGTGGACTGCCCACTATTGAAGATTACTTAATCCAAGTGTAATAACTGTCAGATTTGAGGAATATATTGAGAGAATTTTACACAAACTCTTGAGCACAGTAAACTTTAATATTTAGTGGAAAATAGCATGTTTCTTCACTCTACAGGGGAGCTAGACATTGAGCACCTTGGAAGTTCAGGTCAGAATTTGTGGTGACTGGGTTATAGACAGAAATTATAAAAATGGATTGTTTTTATTTCTAAGGATATGTTTAGGAGAATAGTTCTGTGAAGAAATAGTGCTTGAGAACATGATAATGCTGGACACCTGCAGGTGGAAGAGATAACAGCTTAGAATGTTATTTGAAAAACCAAAAAAGGCAACTGGAATTGAACAACTGTGAGAAATGATTGACATTAAATATAATTAATGATCTGGCATTGGGAAGTTAAATACTGCCACATTGGGAAGAGGGGTGTTGTAGCCCTTTTTATGAGAACAGAAATAGCTAGAAATGGATTAATCTTTTTCCCCCAAACTCACAGAGGTAGTTTTTTGCAAATTGTAAACATCCCTTAGGCTAACTAAAACTCTAGGTGGGTTTACTAACTATGAGAAAAATGAAACTTTAGTGTAATCTTTGAAAAGTGTATGTCTTCATCATTCATGTAAAATGTACAAATAATGTTTGCATTCTTTTTCAAAGTGATTTAATGTTGGTCATTTAAAACTTAGTCCCTATCCTAATAACCTTGCTTTTTCAGAGTTGAACAGTTACTTGGTGTCTATTCATAACCAGTACTTATAATTTAGATTTTGCTGTATATGAAGAAAATGAAGTTTGTTCATTAAGTATTAGAATTAAATCCACAAGCAGTTTTTTTCTTTTTAAAACACAGATATCAGTACTTTGATTGTTTACTATCCTAGTAGAATTAGGTAAGCATTCTATAATATAGCACATAAGGAGTATTAGAATCTAGCTGTAAAAGAGATTTTCATTGACTTATGATGGGGTTATGTCCTGATAAACCCATCATAAATTGAAAATATGTTTAGTTGGAAGTGTATTTAATACATAATCTATGAAACATCATAGCTTAGATTAGCCTACCTTAAACATACTCGGAACACTTATATTGGCCTATAGTTGGGCAAAATCATCTAACACAAAGCCTGTTTTGCAATAAAGTCCTGAATATCTAATGTGATTTATTGAAAACTGTACTGAAAGTGAAAAACCGAATGGTTTTATGGGTACGGGATGGTTGTAAGTGTATTGATTGTTTACACTCCTGATCATGTGGCTGACTGAGAGCTATGGCTCACTACTGTTGCCCAGCATCATGAGAGAGTGTCATACAGTATATCACTAGCCCAGGAACAGATCAAAATTCAAAGTACGATTTCTACTGAGTGCATATTACTTTTGCACCATCATAAAGTTGAAATATCATAACCATTGTAAGTCAAGGACTGTCTGTATCTTTCTAGTTTAGTTCATATGTCTCTACCTTCCCTTTTCTTTCCCCCATGTTCTAGTCATAGTGAACTA